GGATGCTTCCCCGGTCCTTTCGATATATATATATATATATATATATATATATATATATGCACGGGACGGGGAAGGGGCGGGGAGAGCTGAGGCAAAACCAATCCCGGCCCGAAGCCCGAAAAATTTGGGGTGGGTCGGGGCGGATCCTCGGGGGGCCAGGTTTTGTGCCAGTGTTTATTGTTGATAATATTTAAGGTAACCAGATTACCTTTCCAAGGGGTGTTAATATAAGATTACTGAGGTAATCTTAATTTTGACCCTATTTTGCCCTTAATCTTTTATCATTTCGGACACATTTGCCTTCATATGTCTACCAAATAACAATTACCCTAGACCCCCTATATTTAAGAATTTATCTAAAACACCCTTGCCACAAAAAGTTTAAAAGTTAAGAAAATACCCCAACCACCAAAGACCACCGCCAGCCGCTAGCCGCTAGCCGCCACCACCACTGGCCGTCAGTGAAAGTTGTCATATCGGCACAAGACAGGCAGGATCTTCTCGGTCATGTGCCGGTAAGGACGTTTCCGACCATGGGTTTGTGATCCATGGCTGGAAACGACCAGATTTGGCCATTTCACAGCCAAAGTTGTGGCTGTGAAATGCCATAGATCTGGCGGTGAAACGAACATATTCAAGGCCAAATCTAGCGGGATTAGGCCTTATTCGCGCACGACCAGCCAGATTCGGCTGGTTGTGCACCATTACAACAACTATCGGCAGTGGCTTGGGGTGGGTCGGTGTGATTTTGCTACAACTTAAAGTTCTATATGGTTGGGGTGTTTTAACAAAATTTCAAATATAGGGGGTTAAAAGAAATAGTTTAAAAAATAATAAAATAAAATAATATTATATTATTATTTAAAAAGGAGGGCAATTTAATAATCTATATAATATACCCACTCATTTATCCTTCTAACTAAACATATTACTGTAATATACCCGCCAGTTTATTCCAACCAACCAAACACATTTCTCTAAAGATTCCCTAGTAATCTATCTTTCCATTAATACAACATTCCTCACTAATATAACATTCTCTAAACCAACCGCTCCCTTAGTATTTTGAAGATTACTAGAATCTTATATTACTTGATAGCCAAACATGGTAATCAAATAATATAAGATGACATAACCTAGTAATCCCACATAACCCCCAACCAAACCCCTCCCAAGTATTTTTTAATAGTACAAATTTATTTATTCATTATTTAGATATACTTACCAAAAGGTTTGTAAGTTTTAAAATTTGCTCTTTTAACCCTTTGACTCTAACTTCTACATTACGGAGTTAGCCCTGAGGGTGTTTGTGATACAATATCAAAAGTCCAAGGTAAAAAAGTATGATAAAAATTGGGAAAGTTTTCATCCTAGTGATACAAACACAAACCCTTAGGGTGATTTACATAATTTTCCCATGAATATAAGTTCTTGCTTGATGTAGATGCTGAAAATCTATGGTTACATAAAGGATGGATCCTGTGAGGTTGAGGCCACTGACAATCTACTAGACCTACACTACGAAGAGACAAGCGTGAACCTTACGGGAAACACCAGGGTGGTGTTTTTCGTAGGCACTCTGATGCTGAAGTCAACAAGGCTAAAAGAGGTCATTTAATAAGAATTAATAGAAAGAAGGATTACTGGGAGTTTTGTCAGAGACCAGGAATACGGCGAAGGCATTAGGCTCTAAAGAGCAAAAACTTAGGAGCAAGTAGGTGGTTTTAAGTAGTGGAACTTGAATGAATTATGAGAGGGCAGACTTCTGTTTATATAGTGAAACCAAAGGGTTGGACTCCTAGTAGGACACTAAGCCCTACTTTGGGAGATAATCCCTATCAGGAAAGAAAAATGATTTCTTGTCCTTATCAGATTAGGTTTACTAGTTTGAGTAAGATTCAAAATCTTATTAGAAGAGAAAATAGAATAGGATTCTAATTTCCTATTTATGGATTGTAGTAGGCTAATGGGCCGGAACCCAATTTAGCTTAACTTGTAGGATAGTCCAACTCATAAAGTGGGTAGTTCACAATGTGACTTTAAGTGTAGGCCCGACCGGAGTTGGGCTAAGGCCATAGGCCATAAAATGTTTATTTCGTTATTGGGCCTCGTCAAGCCCAAGATGATTTTTTGCCTATACAGTTAGCCCCCAACTCTCTAAGTCAAATGGTATTTAGCTTAGACAGTAAATTTAATCGAATGAGTACGAACTAGGTGGATTAGTGCTAGCAGCTCGTTAGATTGAATGGACCATTTTTGGTATGTGAAAGTTTGCTTGACCGACCTGAGTTAGGAGGAGTTTGCTCATTGATAATACTATTTTTCCCTATGATTTTGCATTTAATGTCAATAGGATTTAGGATACTTCTCATATACTTTAGGCCATCGTTGCTACTTAATTCTATTAATTTTTCTTTGCAGGCCTAAACAATGATTTTGAGCATAAATGATGATTTTGAGTGTAAATTACGTAACTTGAGCTTGGAAACTTGGAATAACCTGAATTTAGAAGCTATGGAAACCTAAGAAGTAGAGTTACAATTTAATGATTGGGGTTTTTCCTAATTCTGATAGGAAGAAGGTGAAACATTGGCTTGAAGTCGTGAACAACACATTGGGAACTGAAGAAAAACATCTTTAGACATGCTTTGGTATATTGGCCATAACTTGAGCTGTAGACCTTGGATTTGGATGATTCTTGAACAAGTAGAAATATAATTTAAAGGAATACAATTATTATGCTAACCACTTTTTCAGATTCAGATTTTATCATGCTCAAATTAGGCCAGAAAGATCCTCGCCAGGGCAAAGAAAAAGCGTCGCCGCAGCAAAACTGCGTCAGATGCCCAAAAAAAAAAAAAAAAAAAAAAACAACGCATTTTGGCTTATTAGGGCTTCATCCTTAAATGAGAGAGGTATAAGTTGGCATGAAAAGGAAGGGAAATGGATCTTGGTTCTTCATTTGGGAGGCAGCTCTTGGAAGGAGAAGATTATTGAAGATTTGGCCTTCAAATTAGAGAAGATTTCTCCATATTTTGCTTGTTTTTCAATGATGAACCTTGATTTAGTTTGTTTTTGTTATTTTGTTTTGTTTTGAGTATGAACTGAGTTGTTTAGCTAGGGTTTGATGTAACCTTGATACAATGATTCAAATTCATATGAATTGATTTACTTTGAGTTTTAATTTCATGATTGAGTGTTTATCTCTTTGCTAATGACTTTTGGATGGTTGATCATCATTCAAATGTATGTTGTTCACAATGAGACTGAGAAGTGACATGTCATATGTGCCTTTTGGGATAAATACCATAGATTGACCAAAAACTAAAGATAGATAAATGAGATCTATGAAATCTAGATATAATTTTACAAAGCTTAAGAGTTAAACTTCAATTTTTGGGTTCGGAAGGTTAATAGGAATAGTAGGGTGGTATAACTTGAGAAGGAGTACTAAACAACTTAGGGAATTTGATTTTCAATCAAGGAATTAGAACTTGGGTAATAGATTCTATGATTTGGATTAAAGAAAAGAAAGATGTCGACGAGTGGTATTAGAAAACAAGTCGACAAGTACCTGAGGGCAAGATGCCAGAATTTCACTTTTTAGATGGTGTCCTCCGTTTTCGGAATCGCATATTCATTCCCTAAGATGCTGAGTTGAAGAAGAAGATTCTTGAGGAGGCTCATGACACACCCATACACTACTTATCTTGGCGGAACCAAAATGTATCAAGATCTAAAGAAGAATTATTGGTGGCCAGGTATGAAGAGAGATATAAGAGATTATATGGCTAAATGCCTAGTTTGTCAACAGGTGAAAGCAGAGCATCAGAGGCCATCAGGATTGCTTCAGCCACTCAACATTTTTGAATGGAAATGGGAAAATATATAAATGGATTTCATCACGGGCTTTCTAAGAGTTCAAAAGGGATATAGGGCAATATGGGTAATAATAGGTAGATTAACCAAATCAGCACATTTCTTCCAGTAAAGGATAGTGCCACCTCAAATCAGTTGGCCTAGATTTACATCAGGGAGATAGTTAGACTCCATGGGGTGCCTAAGATATCATATAGAGATTCCAGATTTATTTCAGCTTTCTAGACTAGTCTACAGAGAAATTTAGGCACCAGACTAGCATTTAGTACAACATACCATCCTCAGACAGATGGCCAAACTAAGAGAACAAATCAAGTACTTGAGGACATGCTAAGAGCGTGTTGTATAGATTATAAAATGACCTGGCATGAGATGTTACTATTGGTGAAGTTTGCTTATAATAACAGTTATGATTCTACAATTAAGATGGCTCTTTATGAAGCCCTGTATGGTAGACGATATAGATCTCCACTGCATTGGAATGAGGTAGGAGAGAAAGATGTTTTGAATACAACTCTTGGACCAGAGATAACTCAGAAAATGATAAAAGACATCAAACTGATCAGAAATAGAATGAAACAAGCCCAAGACAGACAAAAGAACTATGCAGATTTAAAGAGAAAAGATGTAGAATTTGAAGTGGGTGATAAAGTGTTTAATGCGTTTTGGTGGTAAACGAAAACTAGAGCCTAGATACATTGGCCACTTTAAAGTGTTGCAATGAGTAGGAAAGGTAGTTTATAAATTGGTGCTACCACCGAATATGGATAGAGTGCATAATGTTTTTCATGTCTCAATGCTTCGAAGATATGTCAGCGATCCCTCCCATATATTAAAAGTAGAATAAGTGGACTTAGAAGAGAATTTTATTTACGAGGAGCGCCTAGTACAATATTGGATAGAAAGGTTAAAGAGCTCCAAAACAAGAGTATTCCATTAGTAAAAGTCCTATGGAGGAATCATAAAGTAGAAGAAGCTACATGGGAGGTGGAGCAAGATATGCGGAACTGTTATCCTTCGTTTGAATTTCGGGGACGAAATTCTTATTTGGGGGGGGGGGGGGGGGGGGGGGGGGTGTTGTGGGATGTGTGGTGGTGTGTTAAATGTAATAATTGATTGTATCAAGTTTTCAAAATACTGAAGTTAATGGTGCCTCTCTCTGGGTAATGGTTTCCAGAGTGGTGAGGTAGAATTTAGGTGTTTGCTGGCTGTTCACTTATGGTGGTTTCCCTTGGGAGTCTAGTGGACCATATTGGCCAGCCTGTTTGGCCCAAAGAATGGGGAAATATCTTTTTTCTACAAATGTATAGGAATGGTACCATCTAAATTTATTGTTTGTGTAGTCTATGCCTTTCATCCGAGAGACTCCTCTCATTGTCTTGCTAAGGGCCGTCTGTTTTTGCCCTTACAATGATTTATGAGCTTAGGTCCACTGTCTTGGATCCACTATTGGATGTCTTAGGATGACGTCATATTTATTTTCAGTTAAGTGGGACTTAGTTTTGTTTGACATTCTTGATCTCAATATACAACTAGTTGGAGGTGAAATTTTTATGTCTGATCTGTTCCTTTCTTTTGTTTACAGTGCATCAGATTGGAAAGTGCCAACCACTTTCATATATGGTGTCAAAGATTGGATGAACTATCAAGGTGCGCAAGAAGCCCGCAAGCATATGAAAGTTCCTTGTGAAATTATTAGGGTCCCCCAGGTATATCTCTTCTACTCACTCTCTCCCACTGCCCTTTTTCTCTCTGTATTTATTAAGGCTGATAAATTCTTTATGATAAAAATATGCAGGCTGGGCATTTTGTGTTCATAGATAACCCAAATGGTTTCCACGCAGCCATGTTCTATGCTTGCAGGAGGTTTCTTTCACCTGACCCCGATAATGAATCTTTTCCTGAAGGTCTTTCATCAGCCTAGAAAATGACAGGTTTTACCTTTCCCTGCCAATTTGTATAATTTAATTACATGAATTAATCGGTCAGATAAGCAAATTCTTTCTGGCAATAAGACATTCTTTACGCCCATGTAGTCTCCAGCCTTGTACATTAACACTGAATAAGTGATTTGTAATGTTAATGTGTAGATTCTTTTATGCCTTGGTTATCTATTGTCTAGATTTATTCATGCATACCAGATATTTATCTTTGAACCAACTATAACATTTTTGTGGGCAGTTGTAGAAATAGAATAGGATCAATGTAAGACTTTAATCATGCCAGCGATTGCCAGCCAGGCTGGTGATTGAGGAAACTCATGCTGCTCGTAGCAATTAGCTAGCTGGAGCCCAGGGACAATCAATAGTTTACGAGTCTGCAACAAAATAAGGAGCTCACTGAAATTTTCTAGTTTGAGCTTATTAACTCCTCCATAACCAGCCTAATTGGTGGGAAGCTTTGGTTTAAATTTGAGAGCAANCCACATTAAGGTACGTAACTTTACTTATGTCTTAATGCCCTTAGTATTACTTATTTCAAGGTGAAAGATTGGAAGTTAGCATGAAGTAAATTTTTCACACCTCGCCGTGGCAATAGAATATTTTTGCCGCAGCAATGAACTCACTACCCAAATTTGTGTTTGTAGAAATGTAGACTTTGCTGCGGCAAGGAAAGAAGTTTGTCGCAGCAATGAATTCTCTGGAATTTTGGAGAAAATTCTGGAGAACTTGCTTAGGGGAAAAATTGTCATTTCACCCATAATTAGTTGAAAGAGTGGGAAGTGAAAAGAAGTAGAATAATACGGAGAAGATAATAGAAATGAGGGCATTATTGTACTTAACTAAAAGGCAAAGATGGAATTTCTTAGAAAGTGCAAGGGTAAAATGGGAATATATAAATATTATTGTGTAATATTAAGGATTCAAGAGAGGAACCCTAGCCATTCTACCCTTCATTCACGCCACCCTTACCCAAGTGCTCTCAAATTTTCTTCAACCAATCTCAAAGGAAGTCCATAGAATTTGGCTCACTTTTGGTAGAATTCCAATCCTAAGCATCCATAGGTAAGATTCTTGCACCAATATGTGAGTTTAATTTCAAAGTCTTGAATTCTTAGGTTTTATATGCTTAGGGTTTAAGAGAAAGAGAGTTCTAGAAAAGAAAGGTTAAAGTGTTAGTGTTGCTCACATTTAAGTTATGTATCTTGTACGTATATCCAACTCTAGCTTTGATTTGATCAATAATTGTGTAGAGAAAACTCTTATATGTATGCATGAATTTTATATGGTGAGACTTATTGATTGAATGGATGTTGAATGATGGTTGAAATTCAGCTATGAGAAATAGTGTTTATGTAGAGGGTGTATTGGTGGAAGTCTGGATGAATTATGAAGAACTGGAGTAGAATTGTCGATTGTGATTCCTGGCCAGGTTTGATATTGGTTTTAGGGAGTTTTGCTTCAAATTTTGGTGGCTTGGGATAGATGAGGAAGTGTAGCTAATTTTGTGTTTGTATGTGCATGCAAATTGTTTGATGAAATTTCTGAGTGAAGTGCTTGCATGAGTATGTTAGCTTGTCATCTTGATGTGAACTTGTTGATGGTAGAGAAGGACATATTTACATGCCATATTGCATTCATGAATTCAAGCATTTGAATTTAGAAAGAATAGCCAAGAATAAGCTATATACATATATAAGAACATTAAAGGACACAGAGAAAGAAAGAAAACTATTAAACAACACATTTGAAGAATCTACAGAAACTGAATTTTTTATTTAAAAGAAAGATAAGAGAAGGTTATTGCGATGGGGAATCCGTGAGTGACAGAGAAGTAGAAAAGTTCTACATGCACGCCGCCATCAGTGAGCGGCCTTAGAATAGAAAAGAAGAATTTGTACAGTCCGTTAGAAGTGCATGTGGATGAGGATTGTACCTAGAAAGAATTTCGGAATACGCTCACACGGCTAGGGCTCCGAATCCATGCCTTAACTTAGTCCGATCAGCAAATAAAAATAGAAACATAAAAGAAAGGATAGAAATAGAAAAGAAAGAAGAGAAACTGAAAAGAAAGAAGATAAACAGAAAAGAAAGAACAAAAATAGAAAAAAAAAGAATAGAAACAGAAAAGAAAGAATAGAAACAGAAAAGAAATAAGAGAAATAGAAAAGAAAGAACAGAAACAAAAAAAAAAAAGAAGAGAAACAGAATAGAAACAAAAAAAAGAATAGAAACAGAAAAAAGAAAGAAAAGAGAAAACAAACAGAAAATAAATGAGAAATAGAAGACAGAATAAGAAAATAGAAAAACCAAAAAGAAAATACAACTCCTAGAAAAAGTTTATTTATTTGTGCATGTGCATTATGTTACTTCCACTAACCAGAATCTCTTGTGTAATTCAATGATATTTCAGTTTTTATTAAGTATTCTTACCTAACGGTAAGTGGGAACTTAGAATATTAGAAAGAACAAAGAAGAATAGAGAAGCTTGTTATAAGGAAAGAAACCCAGTATACGAGTAACGGAGGAAGAATAGTAGAATATTGGGTTTACTTACTGAGCAATTAGTGCTCACTCTGTTAGTTTCACTACTTTTGCAGGTAATAGATGAGATGCGGTTAGGTGGAACGTCAAGTAGCGGAGGAGATTGGCAACACTGTCCGATAGCACTTTGTGTTTATTTATGTGATTTTGTTACTTGATGTAGAGATTTGTATATAAAATAAATTTAGTTTTTGGGCTCACTATTACACACTTAATCATATACATATATGTTTTCTATGAGATATTTAGTGAGTTTTATTTTATATTTTCCAAAGAATTACTAGCTAGAAAGTATACTATATATATTTAAACTCGTAGCTAATAATGATACTATATGCCATGTAAATAAAATGTTTACAGCTAAATACATTAATTAGCTATAATGTTTTACCATATCTAATACATTGTAGTTAAATGATTAGTTATTGTCACGATTTTAATAAGTTAAAGCAAAATATGAATATTAGGTCCGAGAGAGAAAATCTTATCACTAAAATTATTTCAATTAGTTATAAACATTAACTATTGTAGCTGTAAATATGTATTCACAATAGTTTTCCTTTCTCAAGCTAATTTTCATAACTATATGGGTATAATGTTGTAGTGGATCTCTACTCGTCCTCCTAGAAGACAAAAAAAAAAAAAAAGTATTTTAGGCAGACGAGACTGAAAATGAGAAAAAAGAATTTTTATATGAAATAATTGTCTATCTGATTGCAAATACCAATCTCTACTTGTCATTCTAGGGAAGAAAAAAAAAAAAAAAAAGATAAATGATTTTTTTATGAAATAATTGTGTATGTGGTTGCAATTAGGACTGTAAACTAGTCGAGCCGAGCTAAAAGCTTGTTTAGAGCTCGACTCGATAAGGCTCGGTTCGACTCGACTCGAACTCGGTTCATTAACCGAGTCGAGTTCGAACACAGTGAAGCTCGGCTCGTGGGCTCGCGAGCCTGGCTCGGCTCTGCTCGATTAAGCACTGTACACTTAATAGGGTGTTTTGGTGATTTTTTAAACTATTAGGTATTAAACTGATATTTTCAGTGAAAAAAGTTTAAAAAAATGACAGTCCCCCCCCCCCCCCCCCCCCCCCACCCCCCCCCCCCCCCCCCCCCCTTATGGACCTTCCCCCACCCCCCCCCCCCCCCCCCCACCCCCCCCCCCCCCCCCCCCCCCCCCCCCCCCCCCCCCCCCCCCCCCCCCCCCCCCCCCCCAAAAGTGCAAATTTGAAATAACATGATACACCAAAACAGAGTGTCAATTACTCAATTTAAGTTCCCCATCCCAGTTGCCCTAAATCCCAAATCGCGAACCAGACACTCTGAAATCGGTAATTACTAGGAATGTTATTTGTATATATTCAGAACTGTTTTTTGATTTTGTGAGGTAATAGACATTTTGTAATGTTCAAAACTATCATGGTTAATTCAACATTGGATGTAAATATGAAATGTTGTACGCAGGCAGATTGTTGTAAAAAAGGGGAACTTGGCTCGATCAAACTGGATAAATGGTGGTTTGATCGAGCCTTATCGAGCTCGACAAGGCTCGCGAGCTCGATATCGAGTCTCAATTGAGCTCGCCAGGCTCGAGCTCGAGCTCGAGCTCGACACTATTGTAAATGAGCCGAGCTCGATAAGCCAAAAGCTCGACTCGGCTCGGCTCGTTTACACCCCTAGTTGCAATCGTCCTTCTAGAATAAAAAAGACTATTAGACAGAGAAGACTGAAAATGAGAAGAAGATAAATGATTTTTATATGAAGCTGCAAAAATTATTCAGCATCAACTCCGTTTTTAGAGTTTCACAAATTGCAATTGTATAAAGTGTTTGGGCTAAATTGTAATTTTATAAAATTCTTTCGCGCGAAAAACTCCTGGTGACCTCTTAACTAGTCTATAAATATCAGCTTGCATGTCTCAAGTTTATGACAGAGTGAACTTCACAAATTACTAATGGCTTTTTGTATTGCATCAACCTGTAATATTCCTTCTGGAGCTATTTTTCAACACCGTCAACTACTTGTTCCTAAAACACCAACCAGCAGAATCAGTGTGAAGTAGCAACTCCAGTGCATTGCTAACCCAGAACTTAGTACTTCAACTGTTGTAAGGCGATCAGGAAACTACAAACCTGGCATTTTTAACGAAGATTATCTGCCAAAATTGACTAATGAGTACACGGTAGTCATGTTCTTTTTTTCCTTTTTATGGTTTTAATTTGTTCTCTGCTGAATTTAATGAGTCCAAGTTCAGGAACTAATTACCAAAAACTTAATTTTCTTCAGGGAGAAGCATACAGGAAAAAAGCAGAAAAGCTGACAGAAGAAGTGAGGATGATAATCAATAGTATGGACAACCAATTGGATCAGCTTAACCCATTGGATCAGCTTGAGCTGATTGACAACTTACAAAGACTTGGAGTGGCTTACAATTTTGAACGTGAAATAAAGAACATGTTGGACCGTGTCCACAATATCAGCGATCATAAATGGAAGAAAGGAAATCTATATGCAACCTCTCTAGAGTTTAGACTCCTGAGATAACACGGCTATTATGTTACTGACTGAAGGTACTGAAGAATTAAAGTTCGAAAAAAGTAGTCATCATTTGAATACACTAATATGTTTGTTCTACTTTCCTTGTTGAGTGCAGAAGTTTTTGAGAGTTTCAGGGACAAGACAGGCAGTTTCTCGGCGTGTGTCTGTGATGATGTGAAGGCAATACTGAGCTTTAATCTCTTATATTGTTTAGATCTCTACGTCAACACTTATATTTGTAATCTATTTTTAAGGGAGTCAAGTTGATACGTTTCTCTTTTGCTTTTGAACGTGGTGGGAGAATACTGGTCTTCGAGAGTTAACTTTTGCTAGGTGCAACTTCATAACAGCATAT